AGAAGCTTTACTTTTTTGTGCTGAAGCAGTAGGTTTGCGAGCCGAACGTAGTGAGGCTTGCAATACTGCTGAAGCACAAAAAAGTGCTTCTACTCCGTATGCAACACGCTATTTTTTCTCCAAACGAATGGGTAAGCTCGGGCGCAACTGAATGGTCAAGCGGCAGTAAAAGTACGAGCGGCACTAAAAGTACTTTTGCTGCCGCTCCAGCGGCACTAAAAGTACTTCTACTGCCGCTGCGGTTGCCTAGCAGCATAGAAATTAAATTTCTACCACCTCGACAGGTGTTAACCCGCTGGATTTGCCTACCAGCATAGAAATTAAATTTCTAACATCTTGACAGGTGCTGACAAAGTGACGTTTTTTTGACGTTTGGAGATAATTTTTTTTTTAGTTATCAAAACAGATTCCGAAAAGGAAAAGGAACAATCGAAAATCTGGTAATACTGGAAAACTCAATATACATAGCTTTTTCAAAGAATGAGATAGTGGTATGTGCTTGCAGCATTATGATAATGTGTCATTAGAAAAATTGAAGAAGTATAAGGTTGAGGCCGAGATTGATAAAACAACAACAGAATTTATTTATAATCTACTTATGGATAGAAACATCTACATAAAGTCCCCCAAATGTGGAAATTTCCTATCTTTAGGACGGGTTAATCTGTGATTTCAATAGTTCTTTTAGCTAATAAATAACTACGAAACAAAGTATATTTATTCTAATTAAGATATACTTAGAGGGCTCACTTTGGAACTCAAGAACAACACCAAATTAACACGGCGCAGTCGGTACAGGAGGCTAAAAGATAAGTAAAAAAAAAATTATAAGATTAGAAAAATCGCGGCGCACCCCAAAAGTAAGACTGAGATATAATTTATCAAGGTAAGAAACCAGAAAATTAAAATAATATAATGTGGCGAAGTAGATTCGAGAATTATCTCAATGTTTCTGAGGTAACTAAAAAGCCTGAGGAGGTAAAGTGTGTGCAGCTATTGCACTATATAGGCAAATAAGGTTTTAAAATATTTAATACTTTCTCATTTGCAGATGTGGAAAAAGATAAATTGCAAGCCCCTATTAAATAAATTTGAGGTTCATTTTAGGCCAAAACTCAATCTTTAATATGAAAGATATATCTTTTTCACATGTAGACAACAGTCAGGACCTACTTTTGAGCAATTTATTATATCCCTGAAAGAGCAGGCACAAAAATGCAAGTTTGATCACCTGGAGGACAGTTTGATCAAATGAATGATCATTTGTGGTGTCCGGAGCAATGAACTAAGAGAAAAACTTCTACAAGATGACACCTTGTCACTGGAGAAAGTCATAGAGCAATGCAAAATTTTAGAAATTGCCAAGGAGCAGAATGAGGAAATGTACCCCGGGACAGAAGATAAGCAAGAGGTTAATGCAGTTTAAAACAGGAGAGAACAGCAAAACAAGGGACAAATGCCGAGTAAACGACATGGGTTTATAAATAAAAATAATCTTTATAGATAACGTCCTTAGTGTTTGAGATAGAGTAGAGATAATGGGTTCAGGACTTTGGAAATAAAACTCCCTTTTTTCAAAAAATTATGCCGACGTTTCGACCATATATTTGGTCTTCTTCACAGGCTATTTTTTACCAAACGCCCTTGCTGGTAAAAAATAGCCTGTGAAGAAGACCAAATATATGGTCGAAACGTCGGCATAATTTTTTGAAAAAAGGGAGTTTTATTTCCAAAGTCCTGAACCCATTATCTCTACTCTATCAATAAAAATAATAAAAATTATGCAGGTAAAAAGATTATTTCATGTACTAAATGTGGGAAAACACACAATTTGAATAATTGTCCTGCTTATGACAAGATTTGCCTAAAATGCAAAAAGAAAAATCATTTTTCGGTAGTGCGTAGAAATTCCACATCTGTACAAGAAATAAGAAAAGACACTGAAATTAATTCAATTGACAAAACAAATAATACAGGGTCATTTGTCTTCATTGGATCTATAGAAAGTAATAAAACACAGGGCAAAAGTGACACGAATAACAAAAATGAGTGGTTCACTAAAATTTTGGTGAATAATTGCACAATATAATTGAAGGTTGCCACAGGTTCCATGTGAAATATATTGTCTATAGATCATTTGAAATATTTAAATTTGTATAACATTCCTATAAAATCATCAAATTGCAAGTTCAGGTCCTATGCAGGGGATAATCTAAAAGTAGTTGGCATGTGTGAATTGAATTGCAAGAAAAATAATAAAATGTATAAATTAAAAATTTTTTTAGTAGAAAGCAATACACAGGCTATTTTAAGTTTATATTCATGTATAAATTTAGGTGTTATTAAAAAAATTGAAACCCTAACGATTATAAAGAATTAATCGAGAATTTTCAAGAAAGTTTTGTGGGTATTGGTCGTTTGCCAGGTAAATATAAAATTAAACTTAAAGAAAATGCACAGCCAGTTGTTCATGCCACAAAGAGGGTTGCACTTCTTTTGTTGCCCAAATTAGAAGAAAGTCTAATTGATCTTGAAAACCAAAAAATAATTGAAAAAGTGGAAGGAGCAACTGACTGGGTTAATGCATTGGTAATAGCACGTAAACCAAATGGAAGTCTTAGAATCTGTTTAGATTCGAAAAATTTGAATAACTGTATAAAACAAGAACAGTGTTTAATCCCAACACTAGAAGAAATAACTGCCAAAATGGCGGGGGCAAAGATATTTTCTACATTGGATGCCACTTGTGGCTTCTACCAAATTGTTTTGGATAAAGAAAGTACAAATTTTTGTGTTTTTGGCACCCCATTTGGGAGATACAAGTTTTTAAGGCTACCATATGGTATAAAATAAGCACCTGAAGTATTTCAGCATATAAGTTCAGGGAAATATTCCAGGGTTGTGAAGGTACAGGAATATATATTGATGATTTGATAGTCTTTGGAAAAGACAAGAAAGAACATGACTGTAGGTTGAAAAAAGTTTTAGAGACAGTAAAAATAAATAATGTGAAATTCAATATAGAAAAATGTCATTTTGGTAAGTCTAGCATGAAATATATGGGACACCAAATTTCAGCTGATGGCGTGTCACTAGATCAGTCAAAATTACAAGCTATAAGAGTTGACTACACCAACATGTAAAGAAGCTGTATAACGAGCATTAGGCATGATTACTTATGTCAGCAAATTCATTCCAAATTTATTAAGTAATTCAGAGCATTTAAGGTCGTTGTTAAACAAAGATGTTTTATTCTCATGGGGGTCAACTCAACAAAAAGCTTTTGATAATATTAAAACAATTTTAACCACAAGTCTAGTTCTACAGTTTTATGTTTTATGATGTTAACAAGGAGATGGTCATTTCAGTGGTCTGGGGTAGGAGCAGTTTTACTTCAAAATTAGAATTAATTTTACATGAAAATTTAATATTGAAAGGAAACTGCTTGGTAATTCCTGAGTGTTTGCAAAAGGAAATGCTAACAAGAATACATTACAATCATTTAGGTGTTAAACAATTTTTGGATTTGGCAAAAGGTTTAATTTTATGGCCTACAATGTCAAATGATGTAAATCAAAAGATAGAATCATGCTATCCATGCCAATTTGCTGAATCTCAAAGATCAGAACCATTGATATGCCATAACATACCATTATTACGTTGAGTGTGACCTGTTTGAACTATATGGTGTGAAATATTTACTTTTAATTGACTATTATTCAAAATACATAGAAATTGAAAAATTAAGTAGTGACACATTTAGCTCCACAATAGTTCAAATTATGAAGTCAATGTTTGCTCAACATGGTATTCCAAAGGTGGTTGGACCTCAATTCATGTCAGAAGTGTTTAAAAATTTTTCTAACGAATGAGAATGTTCTCACATTATTAGTTCTCCCGCCTATGCCAAATCAAATGGCATGGCTGAGAGACATGTTCAAACAGCAAAAAATATATTTAAAAAAGTTCTAGAGGAACACAAATATATATATTTAGCTTTATTATATTATCGAAATATGTCAATTTTTGACATTTCCTCAGCTAATTTGTTGAGGTCAAGAAATTTAAGAACAACTATTCCTGTAACTGAACAAACCCTAAAACCTTTTGTAGTAGATACTAAGATGTATTCTAAGTTTTTGGAAAGAACACATCAGGCACAATATAACAGTTATAATAGACCAGGAGTAAAAGAGTTGCCAAACATCTCACCAAATACTAAAGTGGTCCAAAGGGCTTTTGGGTGCCAGGGAAAGTTCTTGAAAAACTTAGAGATAGGTCATATAGAGTAAAAACTGATAATGGGTCTATACAGGGTGACACAAGGAACAGGGAACAGCCTATAACTTTTTTAATATATAAGTTGAAAATTTGAAATTTGGAGAGCTTAAATAAGGCAACGTTTTGAGTTTTTTAGAAGTAAATTCCGTTACTAGTCACTTCCGTTTTAACCGGAAATGGCCAAAACTTTTGATTTTCAAATAGGACACCCGGTGTTTTTTAATTTTTTTGGCATCAGCAGATCATTTTAAGTATGATAGGACCATTTTTGGAAAATTTTTAACAAAAAAAATAAATTGAATTAAATTTTAGAAAAAAAAATTCGGGGCTGCCACTGGTGTGAATTGATTTAGTTGGATATTCTTAATATCAGGCACGCCATAATTTCAGATCAAAATGAAACAAACAGGTCTTTTCAAAGTATTCCATATTTTTCAGATATAACCATGCCAGGACCTATCAATTTTTTAAAACTAGATTTTTTTCCCCTATTTTTTGATATCAATATTTTTGAAATCCGCTGAGAAATAACCCAACAACTTACAGTCACACATCATGCAATAAAGACTCATCCCAAATAGCATCCAAATAATAGATGGAAGTCAATGTTGACAATTAAAGTGCAACGACAGGTACAATTATGCCTGAGCCTCTGCTTTTCTCAAGTCAATCGAACCATATTTTTAGTATTCAGCATAATCTAATACAAATATACTTACTGTTGGCACATATTGACCAGATCCTTGTCAGTCGTGCCCGGATTAAGGCCCCTGATGTACAAGTTGGTTTTGCTCAGTTGCTCGGAGCCGTGGCTCTGCGCCGATCCGTTGGACGAAATCGAATTGTTGATGGCGTTGGCCTGCTGTTGCATATTGCCCGATTGCGAACCGCCCAGGGCGTTGCTGGCCGATGGTCCGCCCGATTGACTGCCGCCCGTGTGACTGCTGGAACTGCTCGCGTTCGAGGGCGATGTGGCAGTAGGTACTCGCTGATTGCCGTACTAGAATAAATAACACTTATTAATAATTACTAATTTCATCATAGTAGTAGTATACTGTCAACTGCTTAAATAAATAGGTACCACTCTATACATCAATTTTATTGAAGTATGTCAACGAGTCAGCATTAATTTGGTATGAATACCGCGCCGAGATCCATTACCGGCAGACTAAGGGTAGTGTAAAGTACCTCAATTGGGAAAAGCCCCTCTAGCTAAGTCTCCTCCCAGTGCAAACAACCTTCAATGGGAAAGACCCTTCTGAGAGTATTGAACGCAGCGGACTAGGTCCAGTGCAAACCAGCTTTATTGGGAAACGCCCTTCTGGACCTGTCTCAAACCCAGCTTCAGTCTGCAGTCACGTCAAGTGTACAGAGTGACTTAAGTAGTAAGTTCCTCTGTAGAAGAGACGTCATGGTATTGCTTCTAGAGTAATATAATTCTATATATTCAATACATAATATCTTATTGCACCAATACCAAGCGAGTTTTTCTCTACCTGAACCCCACCTATGCCCCCAGGTCACGGCTCCTGTTGTGACGAAATGTATAGAGGTTGTGACAATACATTTACAAAAAAAAGTCACAATAATAATTTTTGCATTATTAAATCACCGCGCTGATTCATTTTTCGAAAGCCAGATAACAATAATTATATTTAGCATTGAGAAAGATAAGCCGACAATTAAAAAACATATATTTAAATTTTTGCCAACTTGTTGCCTGACAACCGAATACTGGTTTATTATTCAATAATTTTTAAAAATACATACCGAAATTATTGCAAAATATAACAATAATAATTGTAAATGTAAATACACACATTAATGACCAAACTGTTCACTTTTAACAAAGACACTAGAATAAAATAATTATTACAAGTAAAATTCTAAAAAGTTTTAGATAAGATAACCTGGGGCTTCGATTATTATTAATGAAATATTATATATTGAAACAAAAATACTTGCATTTCTAGTCATCAAATTATCATTTTAAAAAAGGGTTTCCAGAAACTAATGAGCCAATTTAAATTAGTAATAATAACAACAAAAATATGAAGAAAAAAAAAAAAGTTTAACATTACAAAGCCAAAGCAAGCTCATGATCCCTTATCGCCTGATATTTAAATGACGTCACGGTAATTAAAGATAATAAATTAGTTTATACATAATATGGCTGCCATTTATATGGTGAGATTTTTTTTTTGTTTTTAAATTATCTAAGCTGATTATTAACTGTGTACATTAGATAAGCAACAGGGCAGGGCCCTTGATAAGCCAATTAGTGTGTGGGAATCATTTTCGGGCAATCGATAATTTGCAGCCAAGAATATTTCGGAATTTCCTTTAAAAGGCGATTAGATAAAAATTATTGACTGGAACAATCATTTATTTGTTATACCAAGAAAAATGAATCATCCACAATCTTGTATTGATTGAATTGAATTAATTAGCATTAGGTTATGGGCCCAGTTGGCAAACAAGTCAAGAAGTCAGCAAAAACCAAAAAGTCAGGTGTGTGTTAAAAGTCTTGTCAATTGTATGCAACTATGTTTTTAATTGAATTTAACTTTGAAATAATCGAAAGGCTTATTTTTGGTAGCTACATAGGTATTGAATTAAAAGCCATGGATCAGACATCGACGATGCAGTGGAGGCGTGGATTAAGCAGGATTTCAAAGCACAAGCCTTAATTGACTTGAATGTAGACAGTAATATAGCAATAAAAATTGTGAATTGCAATTATTTTTATCTTATCAAATGCTAAATCGACTGGATACTTTGTATGGCAAAGACAGAATTTATTACAGAAAGTGTACAAAGACATGATTTAAGCTTGAAAATTGTATAACCACAATTTGCTGAAGATTTGGATGCCAAAGGGTAACACGTCAAAGAAAATTGGATTATAACTAGTATTTTTGGGAATTTATAATCCAGGGTTGCCACCCAAATTACATCATTTTAACAGGTACCGCAGGGTTAACAGAAGATCGATCAGGCTTGCCAAGTCGACTTATTTTCAGAATAGGATGAATAATTCTTCAAATAAATCAAGGGAAACTTGGAGAATTGTGAATGACCTGAGGGGAGGAATAATGTTTCGGTTTATATGAATCATGACATTAATTCTTTTTACTGCAATATTGCCACTGAACTCAAACAAAATTTCAACAAGGAGTGATCCTAGGAGCTTTCTAAAACATGTAGTGGTGGCTGAATCTTTCTTTTTTGCTCCTACTAATGCAGAAAAGCTTAAATGCTCGGAAATATAAGGAATAAGGATGCAGCAAGTTGGAATGGGCTCTGATTGTTGCGGTTTCAGCGGAACTGCCCTGAAATGGTTTTGTTCTTACCTAACGGATTGCGTTCAGGTTCTCAAGCCACCCAACTTTGTGTTGTATTTTTATTCTGGAAACGATCTGTTCAGTCTTTAGAAAATATAAGTGCGAATTGGGTCAAAGGGGTCAATACAATGCGCATCAAAATTACGTGCTCTGTTTCTCGAGTTCGTTAACGATGTGACTCAACGTTGTACGTATTTTGACCGTTCTGGTTCTTAGCCTAGTCGCTCTTTTATGGTAAAATTTCAGTATTTCATATTTTTTTTTGTAATGTTTTGATTTAGATATATTATTCTTTATATGCGTTGACTTTTACTTTTTGACTTCGACTATTGATACATAATTATGTATTTTTAATTTCAATTTCATTTTATCGCTTGTCTATATATTATGATACTAGTTGAGCCGGCCACGCGTTGCTGTGGCTCAGTCAGTGATCTTTGCTAAATTTGAAGTATCCGATACTTTATTTTTAAATGCTTGGATACTTTGGATACCTTCTTTTCTCACGCTTCATTATCCTCAGAGTGAATCCGCAACAATAAGGTCTAGCGAGTAGCGGTAAATTTATAGAATCCTTCAAGACTTTGTGACTGTTGTCTATGGGATTCCCCGCTACTTATGCGTCATTCCCAATCCCAATTCTCAACAATCCCAACACATAGGTTCCAAAGTATCCGATATATTTAGTTCAAGTATCCATTCGATACCGATACTTCTAAGTACAGGGTGGCCCAAATTCGAGCCTCATCTTTGGGATCTCGGTAACCGTAAGAGATACAGGGTCGGTTAAATTATGGCAAAGTTGCGCAATTTTATGACCAATAGAATGCCGTTTCGAAACCAGAAAGATTCCGAATAGTTCCGGAGATATTCGGAAAAAACCGAAATTTTGTAAAATCGTTTTTATTTTTTGCCGGGCTTATTTGAAAATGAATTTTAAAATAAATGTCACTTCATGATTGTCACTTTTTCCCTTTTAGAAGATGGTGCTACTAAATTCAAAATTCGACGTTTCGTCTTCAGGCGACCATCCTCAACTTACATTTTTTAAATACGGACCTAGATTTTTTATTTGCGATTTTGTCATCTTTGGGCATCCTAAAACCGATACTGTTTATAATTTTTCAATAACACGGTGGAAAAAGCAGGTCCGTATTCAAAAAAAATAAATTGATGATGATTCCAGAGGAACGAAACGTTGGATTTCAAATTTAATACCTCCATTTTGTAGAGAAGAAAAAGTGACAATGGGAATGTGAGATTAGTTTTTCAAAACCTTTTTAAATGGAATCAAGATAAAATTTGAGAAAAACGAGAAATTCATGTTTTTTTCGTATAGTTTTCATTTTTTCCTGATTTTATTTAAAAAGATTGTGAAAAACTAATTTAACATTCCATTGCCATTTTTTCATCTCTACAAGATGGCGGTATTAAATTTAAAATACAACGTTTCGTTCCTCTGGAATCATCATCATTTTTTTTTTTAAAGACCTGCTTTTTTTACTACGTGATTGAAAAATTATAAACAGTATCGGTTTTAGGATGCCCAAAGATGACAAAATCGCAAATAAAAAATCCAGGTCCGTATTTAAAAAAAGGAAGTTGAGGATGGCCGCCTGAAGACGAAACGTCGAATTTTAAATTTAGTACCACCATCTTCTAAAGGGGAAAAAGTGACAATGATGAAGTGACATTTATTTTAAAATTGCTCTTCAAATAAGCCCAGGAAAAAATAAAAACAATTTTACGGAATCTTTCTAGTTTCAAAACGGCAACCGACCCTGTATCTCTTACGGTACCGAGATCCCAATGATAAGGCTCGAATTTGGGCCACCCTGTACATATCTAAGTTGCACATTACTACTAAAAATGTTTCAATCAATCTGAAACCCTACGGGATTGAGAATAGAATGTTAAGCCATAATTCAAATGTGATTGGTAAGGAGTTTTGGAGAGTTAAAATCAAACACAAACCTAATATTGATAACATAATTATATGGTGGTTTGTGTTTAATTTTAACTCTTCAAAACTCTTTTGCCAATTACATTCAAATTTTCGCCTAACGTTCTATTCTCAATCCGGTAAAGCTTCAGATCGACTGGAACATTTTCAGCTTTATTAGTAGATAATTGTCAGAAGAGTATGAAAACAATGGTTGACAGCCGTTGACAGTGGTTTGTTGACAAGTGGAAACTGGAAACTATTATTTCCTCGATTTTTCCAAGGTTATTTCCTAACAATCGTTATTGTGTGGTGTGCCTTTTCGTAAAAATAATTACTATTCACCGGCGGACGTGTCTTTCCATAAGTTTCCATGAAATCTATTGCATAAAATTCAAAGCAATGACATTGACAAGCAAACAAATGTTGGCGGGAAAATGTATGTTTTCATACTATCGTCCATCTCTTTTAATTGAAAACGTCAATTAACTCGACTATATTGAAAAGGACAGTACCCGGGTAGGTAGTGTGGTAGAAGAGTGAAAATTTACGGTTGTACAGGGTGCTGCAATTTAGAGTGTTTTAACAAGAAAAACATACTTCCAGACGAGATAGAAGAAAATTGACTTAGGTGTCATGGGATTAATTTTCGAGAAACGTCGATTGCCAAAAACCGTATCACGATATCTTCAATGGTACCATCGATACAGGGCG